AATCTCAATCCATAGTCTGATACAGGTTTAAGAAGTCGTAGTCAAACGTCGATCGTTTATGTATGAACAATGTAACTGGTGTCTGTTAAAGAGATTGGACAGACGCCTTTTACGCGAAGCTAACGTCGCGCGATTGACCCTTCATAGAGAAAGCACCGTGCATCCGCGTACCCGCGGCCAAATTAATTTGCGCGCGAGACACGTGAAAGAGTTATTTTTTTCGAGAGCACAAGTGTAAAGTGTCATATCACTTTATTTAATCAATCATAACATTCAATAATACATAATTTAACTGATAAATGTATTTTGTGTTTAAATTTTTACATAAGGACATGCGTTTTGTTATGTTACGATACACTCGATTGCAGGTAATACCTAGTTGTTATCTCTTTCCCCATCAATATCGTAGGCAACTATGTCGTGTAGAGTTTATTCTTTTTGACAAGATTCGAAACACCTCAACGCTCCATTTTGTAATTTACATACGTAATGCAAACGACTCCGAGTAGTAGCGTATGTGCGATTGTTGTATTTACATGAGTAACACCGCGCGATCGCGCCTCGCATTCTAACAGTGTATAATTCGACAGGTATTTCTTTTCTTTTCCATCCATACATAACTCTCGTTTGACCGCCCTTAAGTATCAATGGCAAGAAGTTGCGTCTTCCCCCCCCCCCCCCTTTCGACGAGCCATCTGCATGCGACCGAAAAGATGATGCCTTGAATTACGATGTAACTTACAAAGTATGAATAATATTACACACACATGTTTCGAATCCTATTGTATTTAAGGCCCGGTTTCACCGAAACGTCGTTTAACTGTGATCACGGGTTTAATTCACGCTCGTCCCTTTCTAAAGTAACAGTTGGAAAGAGACGAGGGATGAACGAAGCCAAGCCTAAAGTTAAGCGACGATGGTGAAGCCCAGGCCCGAGAGTCAGAATGATGGTGCGCATCGTCGCATTCATTCGTCCAAATAACATATGTACATAGTATATTCCCCCGAGACCCGATCTCCGTTTTACCCACCCCGTTCCCCCAACGTAAAAGTGAACAGATTAAGGCTCCAGCAGGCTATAGGCTACGTTCTACAATGTACAATATATTATGTACTTTGTTAGTTTCCGTTTTCGCGTACAATGTCTGGCTGTGTAATGTGTAGTAAGCGATAGCACCAAGAGACTTCCCGCTTTTCCTGCCTTTCGCGCTCGTATGAGACGACCCCTTCGTGACGGCTGTTATATACTATATAATGTGATGCAATTTAGAGAAACCAGGTTGCGCAATGATTAACATTTATTTCATTCAGTAGTTTCATTAAACTTTGCAACGTATCCATCATATAATAGACATACTTATTATAAAACAATACATTTTAACAAAAATGTATATAGACTTATACCTTTATGAAATGTAAAGTTGGATAAAAATAGTAGGCCTCGCCCACCAATATCTGTTAAGAGTTATGTTTCCTTGTTTCTCGTTTACTTTGTGTATTGAACGCGGTAATGAACACTTAACGGTGTTCGGTACCGGGCTGACAAATCAGTGGACAGACACATCCAATGTCCCTTGCAATTACATTTGATATATTATGCGTTTGATATCACCCATGGCCCCAGCATGTTGTATCGATAAGTAACATAATAATCAGAGAATATGTATATATATGTATATATATATATATTTATATAATAAATTCGTATAAAAAACGATACATGTACGCATATATCGTTCTTTAAACCGAATTCTTAAATACACGAGATGTGTCATCGAGTCGCTTCAGTGATCTAAGACTTAAGCGTTACGGATTTGTCTTCCTTTTTAAATGAGAGTCAGTCTAAAGATCTTCCTTATACCTGACGTAAACTATCAATTTCGCTACTTTATTCGCACATCATCACATCTGTAAGAAAACGTTTTTTCTCTCTTTCTCTTTTTTTTTGCATCATGTAGTGTCCATTTTCGTAGAGGCTCTATTCGCGTTCCGCAATTTATATTTGTATCGTAAAACGTAAACAACGTATCGTGCTCTTTAATATTCTCCGGATAGAAATATGCTTATAATAAAGTAATTAAAAGTGTTCTGCTTCGAGTCAGGGTGAACCATCGAGCGACAGAGAAATTGTGCTAGAGCAGATCGATGTAGTTGTAATGACAAGAATTATCAATAAGATAATAACCTCAGTGAACGATATTATGTATTAATCTTCTCCCCTCATATATTGTAATAATATATAAGACGCAATAACCTTCTCCAGGGAAAAAAGCGTTATACAAGTAGAAATATAAATAATTATGGGACATCACTGACGTTACTATATTTTTGACAAAGTTCGCGGGAATTTGTAAATTGTCGCCGATCGAAAAACTGCCCTCCATCTGCCCATTGCTTCACAACTACATGATTATAGTTAAAATTTATTCTCGCTATTCGCGTCTCGCAATCTCAAGCTATTCAATTCGCATTAAACTCAACTCCAGTTGAATCACTTAACGTAAGAACAAGGATCCCCATTACCCCATTATAAATAGTGAATAGATCTTTTACTTCGATAGTTATTATCGTTTTCACGTCCATCCAAAGTCAAAGATTATATCTTGCACTATGCTGCACAATGCGAATATCACGGACGTCGCTTGAAGAAAGATGGAATCAAAGTGAGGAAACAGCGTGATTTATACAAAGGTTCCACCGTCGGATATTGATTTTCGATTTTACAGGAATTAGCACGCTTGTAGAGAAGAAACCAAGCCGTTACTTCGTGACGAATCTGTGTAGAATGTTTCGGAGAGAAACATGTGTTCTCAGTTAATTCTTCTCGATTGACAACGCCAAAAGTGCCGACCTTGTTTTATTGCTTCGTGGAACATACAATACGGAGTCGAGAGGAACCTTGAGTGGCATGCATGAGTCGAATATCTCTAGTCAGACGTTATTTAAGTAGTGTTATAATTTGCTCCCATGCACATCACACCTCCAGACTTCACTCATGCAGCAAAATGCGCCTTACTTTTTTTTTGTTAATTATTTCTTTTAATATAAAAAAATCTATTTCTATTGACTCTTAAGCTCTTTGCCAATACTGTACGACACAATTTTGTTCCAGTCGATTTTCGTTCGCATTACCGGCAATTGCCTTCGCAGCGCCTTAAAGGTGGTGTCGGACATGGTTTGATAGTTCTCGGAAATCGCCGTTTGATAATCGTTCTCGGATTCCTCGACAAACCGTATTAGATCCTTCGCCGTTTGCTTCTCGCTGGAGATCGGCAGGCTCTCCTTCACGTCTTTGCTACTGACCAGTTGTACATTCCCGTCCTCGTAATAATGTACTTGTACTTTGAGGCTACCTCTCATCTCGGCGTTACCCGAATTTGGGGTGAAACTGACGTTCCACACCGAACGCCAGCGGCCGTTCCAGAAGTTTTTAGGTTGAAACTGATGATCCTCTATGCACGCCGTTAGCGTTATGTTTCCTGCGTAAAAAAAAAAGAAGAAACAATTCAATTGTTGCTCGATCGCCCACCGCGCCTTGCCTCGAGCGCGATCGCGGACAGTTACCTCCAAGGGATTTTCCGAAGACTGAGCAAGCGCCATGTCTGTAATGGCTTTGAGTATAATTCGTTATCTCCTCTTGAAGGGCCGACCTCCAAGGCTCCGCTACGGGATCCGGTTCGTAAGGTTCGTAATCCTGCGCCTCCTTCCTCAGGTGATCGTATTTAAAACTTTGCTTACTCCGCGCGTCGTAAAACCTCTGGGAGCCCAAGTCATTGTGTTCCGTTATGAGCGCTGGGTGGTCACTTCCGTCTATCTGCGTGACAAGAAAAGAACTTTCAAGTTGTCTACTCAACACTCCCGCCTGTCTTTCCTACGCGAAGTTTCCTACGGTTTCCTGCCGACCGAAATCTACAGTTTTGCACACATTCGCGACTCGACCCTAGACTTATCCGTCCGCAAAGTGTAAGTAAAAACGCGTGTAAAAAAAAGGAACAAGACACCGCGGCCTCGCCGCTGGCACAAGCAGTGCCCAACCTCCGATACCGGCACCGGAATAGCGTTCCAGCGCGAAGCAAAACGAGGGAAGCAGACGACCCGGTGCGTCGAAGCATCGCCGGCAAACGGACCGGCGGCGCGGCCACGCGGTTCCCGCTGTCTAGCCCCTGGGGCGAGGGTCCCCGCAGCCTGCCGCGAGGGTGTACTCGCGCCGGTGGGAACGTCGACGCGTGGCGAACGCGCGGAGCGGACGGTGGGCGCGGAAAAGCCGAGGCGGCCGAAGACGGCGCGCGGCTGGGTCGCCGTGGTCGCGCCTCGCGGGCTCCCGGAATCGATAGGCACACACCCGGGGGATGGAAAACGGGGACGAGCGCGCGAAAGGGCGCCAAGGGCCGCGCGAGCCCTGCGTTCGCCGCGAGGGCGAGGGGGCCGCGCGGGAGTCGGCACGCGGCGCCGTCGGCGGCGACCACGACGACGACGACGACGACGATGATCGTGATGATGATGATGATGATGATGATGATGTTGTACCTTAACAGGCGTGAGCTGGTCCTTGTTGTACTGAGCGAAGGCCCCGGACGCGCCCTCCTTCAACAGATTGTCGTTGTTCAGCAGGACCCTCACGTCGTTGAACACCTCGTTGAACTCACCCGGCGGCGAGTGCAATATAAAATCCGAGACTATTCGCACTTTTTCCTGGTCCGGAATCACCGCATCTCCGTCCGCCGCCATCTTACCTTTCCCACTGGCACGCACACTCCGCCGCCGCCACCGCCGCCGCCGCCGATGTCAAAAGCGAGGGTACGGTGCGGTGGTCACGGACGGGGTCAGGTTGTGCTTGGTCCCTCTCCTCCGGATCCCGCCTCCGCGGCTCGCCGCGCGGCGGCGCTGGCGGCGGCGCCGGTATACCGGGTGGCGCGAACCCACCGGCTCTCGCGCGCGCCGGCCCTTCTCTCATTTTTGTCGTAGTTTAAGGGGATGCTGGAGTAATTCTGCACTTTTGCACCTTTCTAACCTAAAAACTGTCAGTTCGCGGAAACATTTGTGTAATATACAAATTAAATGGCTTAGTCCCAGTCTACAATAGATGATTTAAGCCCTAAGCTTTAAGAAATTGGCCAATCACGGTCAAGTATGAGTAGAATGCGCGACTGTGATTAGTCAATTTCTTAAGGCTTAGGGCTTAAATCTCTATTGTAGACTGGGACTTACGTGTACAGATCGAAAGCAGCTTGCTATTCCGGCCAAATGAAAGAACAATATATATGGCATCACTGAAACTAAGTTTGTAAGTCTAATAAAAAATAATAGTGAGCAACACACATACTACATGTACTGTATGTATGTGTTGCTCACTATTATTTTTTATTAGCCTTACAAACTTAGTTTCAGTGATGCCATATTGTTCTTTCATTTGGCCGGAATAGCAAGCTGCTCTCGATCTGTACACGTAAGCCATTTAATTTGTATATTACACAAATGTTTCCGCGAACTGACAGTTTTTAGGTTAGAAAGGTGCAAAAGTGCAGAATCACTCCAGCATCCCCTTAATTGGTCCCGAGCACGTGGTATTCCACCGTACACCCCGGCAGGATCCAGCGACGTGTGTTCGATTGCGCACTCGTAATCTAGGAAGAAATATGAGGTAATTTTCCCAGATAGCACACTGAATTCACAAAGTATTCTTTAAGTTTTCTTTTTTCTGAATTGTAATTCTTTAGGAATTCATAGAAGAATGCAATAAGAGTGACAGAGGAAGTTACACGCACCATAAATCGTTTTCCTGACAACTTCTTAAAGTACTCATCTCGAATTCAATAAATGTAAACTTTATGAATTCAAGGGGACTCCCAGGTAGAAC